TAGGGAGAGTTGCTTATAAGAACCTTGCTAAGATTCTTATTAAGATTCCTATCAAGAATCTTAATAAGAATCTTAGTAAGATTTCTACCTGGGTACTGAGGTATTGGGAGTGAAACGGTTAATAGATCACAATAATAAAGGTATAGTATAGGAATTAATCATTTTTTTTGTTTATCATAAAGCGACCTTGAAAATCAAGCCAAGGACCTGGTTTCAAGAATGAAAGCTATGAAGGTAATCAGACTATGACATTTCAAATGGTGTGGTTTATTATATATTGCATAGAAACTGAAAAAATATAATTATATATATATTTTTTTTACCCAAAGGTCTAAGTAAATTGATTTAAATTTCTGTGGTGCTTGAATCAAACTAGGGTATTGACTTCAATAATGACTGGAAACTTCTCACAATTTGGATTGGAACAGATGACCTCTGTCAAGTTTGTGAGAATGAGGTAAGATTCACCTGGCGCAAATGATCAGTGCTAATATCAACCTTTTGCATAGTAATTAATTAATAAAATATTGTATCAGTTGTTATTAATTACCCAGTCAATGAGATGTTACTGATGATTGATTAAAAAATATATATCAAATTGGGATTTCAAATGTAGACTTTGTTTAGATTAGTTATTAATGAATTAGTTAATTTTTATGCTCAACTGCTGCTCACAAATGGATCAGGAACCCATCAGCCTTAAACTCCCACAAGCTGTGCTTCCACTGGAGAAAAGTGAAGAGTCTGCAATTAATAATATTAGCAAGAGTTTGGGTGATAATTAGAAATAGAACCGGAGTTTCAATTTCCAGAAGATTAGAATAGTCAATGATAGATGAATAAATGATTAGAGGAAGGCATTAATATTAATTTATTCAAAACAATGTATGTTTTATCATCGTTCGAAGTGGTATTGAATCAATGACTAATGCATGTTCTACTTTTTGATGATTTCAGGAGAAATTCAGTGCTGGCTCTTTTATAAAATATATGATGCGCACACTAAATTACCTAAAAAATGAGGTGAGTTTGTTTTGATTTTATTACTAGTCAGATCGATAATATGAAGTATTTCCAGATGAATGTTCAGGGTGCAAATCCATTGTAGGAATTGAGGAGACATATTCTGACTATTTACTTCAGTCTCAGATTGTCCTTAATATTTACTGTAGTTGACTTTGTCACTTTGTGTTCCTAGGTGCCCAGGTTGTTTGTGAATTTAGTTCCACCCATGGATGTTTCTCCTCTTTATGAGTTACATCAAGCAAATACCAACTTGTGCCAAATTCTGGGATGGTAGGTTCCATAACAATATTTTCTTGTGAGATACATACACCCCACTCAATTCAGCGCATTGTTTTATCCTTTTCACTTTAATTGTATATTGTGCACAGAGAAAGGTTTGTTGATCTTATGCAGGATGCAAGACTAAATTTAAGTTGTTGAGCTCTCAGAAATAACCTGCTTATGTATAAAATCCTGAAATGTTAAGGAGAGGTTGTGGGGGGAGAGGGGTGGGGAGTACATAGAGTAGAGGGGAG